TAGTGCACAAAATAGTTCTACATTAAAACTGCCTTTAGGGACACTATACAAAGAAACACTTTAAAACACACACACACACACATATACACACACACACACACACATAGGCATGCACGCTATGTTTGTAGGTGACCATAGGCATGTTGATCATGCTCTCCTGGGTTGCTGTGGATGGATGCTTGGGGACAAGGAATGGGTATGAATCATGAGGATTATGGAGAACATGTAACACATTTACGTTAAAAATTTATGTCAAAAAAGGAAATAAAACAGAGACCATGCAAATAATGGGTCAAATTCTCTCTTTCAAAAGCTAATGAAAGCTCCCCATTTGCTGAGATCAGACCCAGGATTTGAGCATAATTATACTCATGCCTTGCTTGTCAGAACATAACATCTACCTGTTTTAATAAGGGCAATACAGGACATGTGCTTGGCCTCCCACTTACTGGTCTTGTCAGATATATTAATATTTTTATTATTATAAAATAGCACTCATGTCAAAATGCCTAAGTATCATAGTGATAAATATATAATAAACACTTGTATCTAGGCTGAACCTTGACATATATAAGATATCATTTTATGATTTATGTGGGTTTTTTAAATGTTGGCTGATATCCAGTCACAAGAATGTATAAGATATTTATCACAGAGCATATTACAAAGGAAGAAAGGAGAAAGAAAGAAAGAGAAGAAGAAAGAAAGAAAAGAAAGAATCCAGACAAGTAACTAAATTCAAGTTGTATATCCTTAAATAAATCAATTTCCTTCCTCACATTCCCTATCCTAATCCTTAACACATTGTACTACGTTTGCATGACTAGCTCACTCTCCTGCTCCCCATACTATAAGCTCCATAAGGACACTGAAAGCTATTTTCTTAGTGTCAAAAACAGTGTCTACACAAAGTAAGAATTCAATGACTGGTTGAATGGATACACACATAGATTAATATTTAAGTAAAGTAGGTACCAAATGAAGTAACAATTTCTTTAAAATATCTGCTCTTAGAGATTTGATGGAATGAAGACGAAAAACACAGATATTAGAAAAGTTATGAAAATTCTAGTTACAGTAGGAACTATTAGGCATGAATCAGGCTATTCTATTAATACTGTAACAGAGAAATAATTCAAAGAATAATGTCATGATGATGGAGGAAGACAGCAGAGATCTATGTCAAATTATCTCACAACAAAAATGCCTGAAAATACTTTGAAAACTTTCTGTATATCATTCAAATAGTGATATGACTAGAGATTTGCCCTTTTATGTTTTAGGAGATGGATAGAATATTCCTTTAAAACTATCACTATGTCTAAGTAACTGTGGCATGTCTTATTTTAATCAAGCACAGTTTTATTTTATCAGGAAAAGAAAAAAATCTGTGGTAATATTTAAATTCAAAATGGACTTAGGAGAAAAATCACCAATATACTAGTATTTTTTGTTTGCTATTTTGTATTTGGAGAAAAATTTTATTTTAGAAATTTCTTTTCTCCTCCAACAAGAAAAAATATATTTGCAAAAGCAACAGGCTTCCTTTGATGCTAGTTTAAAGAAATTCTTGATATTTTTAAAAAGATTTACAAAAATATAAGTCGACAGTGCACAAAATAACCATCTATTAGCAATATAAACTGTTTAATGCATTTCTGAATTTTTTAACTGTCTCAAAAAACAAAAGAACAAATGTTGTAAGCTATGATTTTCTTATGATTAAACTTCTAAAATCACTTTCCATGAAAATAGAGTATTCAAACTAATGAGCAAAGATAATCATTCTGACATGGTTTCCTCTCCAGTACTGCCATTATATACTGGCAGACATAACAGTAAAAATACTATATAGGCCCATTCCAGGGATATTTGTGCCAAGCCCTCGAGACTTACAACACAATTATAAGAGGCAAATAATCTTAAGACACACAAATATCTTACATAAATCTCATTGAAGTGTAACACAACAGGTAGGTAAATTGTTTGGTATGATTAATAACAGTTACATTGCATAGTTAAGCAACATTAATAACTGTTTTACAAATACATTAACATAATATTGATAGCAAAGTATGAGAAATTCTTCAAAATTTAATGTCAATCATTGCATCAGCTATGCTCTACAAGTATAGGTTTGCTGCTAATTCTTCTAAAAATGATTAGCAATTCACACATGTCTTTAAAAATTGCATGCAAGGAAAGCCCATCATATTTAATCTCCTATAGGTTTAGAGATAAATCTACTTATATTTTCTTTATTCCCACTCTATTTTTTCTTCCCCAAGTTTCTCAAAAAAAATAAAAAATAAAAAAGTTGGGAGAATGAAAGGAAAAGACATTTTATAATATGTCATTTGAGCATCTACATCTTCAGGTGCCTGTATTTCCTGCTATAATAAATATCTCAAGAGTAAGTACCATGTTTTTATGATGTCAACTATTTGGCTCCAGTTTGAATGGAATCAATTGAAAGATTCACTGATGGTAATGGGGAAAAAATGACATAAAGTTTCTGTGGTTACTTCTTAGTAATGGGTATTCTAAACATTAGATAGAGTACATATAAATATATTATTATAATACTGAAAGTTGTTAGCTTTTGAGATCTAAGTTATGACCCAATGTGAAATAAAGGTCCTAATCACCTTATAGAGAGGGGTGAACAGTAGCAGTTCACTTCTCGATGGTTCTATTGTGAATACTTCAGAATAGGGCACACAGGTTCAATATTTTCTTTAATAAGATTCCTCTCTGAGGAGGAGACAATTGAGGGCAGGTAAAATATTTTCAAAATCTGTAGAATACCCAATGTGCATATGCCAACTTGATTAAACATATGGAATACATACTTGGAGTAAAGCCAACTGGCGACCTGCTTGAGTAATCTAAACACCCAAGCTGAGAGAGGTTAACATATAAAGATCAGCTTTGTACTTTGAAGTTTTCTGGTCTTCATTTTACCTAATTAAGACAAGATTTAATAATCAAACCATTGTACAAACATGTACCCAAAAGTATAAGTTTGTTTCTAATTTTAGGAAGAATTCTTAACAGATTCTGAGGAATTAGCTCCACATGGGAAAAGGTCTCTGATAAGGTTTGCTTTTCTCATTGTTAAAATGCAAATGCATGCTTTTCATCTTAGTTTTATCCATGCGACTGGGGTTAGCATCTGCCTGTCAAAATCTCTAGCGTGATATTAAAAGAGAAAGATTTTGATTATTAGCATCACATCTAAATCTGAAACAGTGGCAACTCTAGGTCACAAAAAACTGTTTTACAAAATCATTTGTAGATCATAATTTCAAAAGGATCAAGTTACCTAATTTACACATAGTAGAATATATATATATCCATGTTATTTCCAGGAAATAGAATCAAGAATGGTATAAAAGTATATCTATAATCTAACACTAATTTTATAAACAAACCTAATTCTAGATCAAAATATTATCAGGCAGAAAGTAGGACTCCTAACCTTCCCTCCCACATTAATTTCACACAACTGGACACTTTTTCAAGAATAACTAGTGCTTTTTAAGTTGTGCTGCTAGACCACAAAACAAATAAACAAACCTAACTCTACCATAAGATAGCAAACATATGGAGAGCCACATCCAAGTCAATGAGTATTATGCCACTAGTCAAAGAAGGAAATTAATTCTCTCCTGATGAGAATGATTTCATAAAAAATAATTTGATATGAAATAATGTGATAAAGTTAGAGAAACGCTGTAGCAATAAAACAGGCATCTGTCTGATGATTCAGAAAGAGTCTGCAATGCACAATGAAAGAAGGTCAGAGAGAGTAGTTGCCACTGTCAGCCATTCCACTGCCAACATCCTAACCCTACACATACACACATCATCTTTAAGAGCAGCATAGGGCTAGCTTGGAGAATTACTGTTCAGTAATATGGTCTTCAGCCCATGCTGTCTTCATGGCTCTGCCCTTGTTAGATGGAGGCCAAGAGAAGAGAGAAATTCCAGCACATGATGAAGAACTCCCATCTGGGCATTTATTTCTTTGTTTTATTGTTTCTTATATCACAATACAATAAAGTATTTAATTACTAAGCCAAGTTTTAGCTAGCCACTTATCAGTAAGCAGGGTATCATTTTGCAATATAATGCCTCTTCTGCCTCTTTAACATACCTGTAGGTGCTAAGTACAGTACAAAGCAGAGGGAATAGAATCTTAATACTTAGGACCTTAATATTTTTCAGGAATTTTCCAAGAATGAGAAGAGTATGCTTTTGTAAACTTGCCACAGTAGAGAACAGTGGCAAAACTGTACAGACAAGACTCTTTGATATTATTTTGCTTATAAATTCATAGAAAATGCTTTACTGGCCTATCTGATATCATTCTATTACAATCACTGTTTCTTTGTGGTTGCCTCAGTAGGAGAGCTCCTGGGATGTGGTATGATACAGACATTTGCTGTCCATTTTAGCCACAGTAAGGCTGCCAGAAAAAAAAATATCACCAGTTTCTCAGAAACTGCTTCAACACTTTTTGAAATGAAGTGGGGCATACTAAAAAACAAATGTAATGTAGATGCATACAAGTTGCTGAGACATACCTTACTGGCTAACCTTGTCCTATCTTCCATCAACTGTACAAACTTTTTGACATGTCAACCCACATTCATGTCACCACATTCAACTCTGCCTCAAGATTTTTCTGTAATATTAAAAAACAATGCTCCATACATATATGCCTGTATGTGCTTGTGTATTAAAATAGGTAATCAATCATAAAACACCTTGCTAATCTATAATCTCAATTTTGTTGCAAACATCCCATGAACATAACGATGGTAAAAACACTGATATTGTGATGGTGTCCTTCAGCCCAGAGAGCAGGGCTAGGATTATGAGCTCCTTTTTGCTGTGGCTTACATCAACATTCCTTTCTTATGTACCCATATCAGTGATGAAATCTCCAATTTCCAAATCAACGGTTGTGAATATGAGTTGGTTTGGAGGCTTACTTTGTTCATGTGAATCTGCTGCTGGTATTGCTTCTGCTTCTCCAAGAATTGCTGGTGTTGCTGCTGAATGACCAGCTGAGCCAATGTGCTCTGAGGCAAAGGTGCAGACTGGGTTCGATTCAGGGGTCTGTGACGGGGCAATTTATGGGTACCTCTAATGCCAGGTGAAATTCTCTCTTTTGCTGCCAACGGAGACTGAGGATGTAAAGAAACTCCACCTGAAAAATATATATATGTGACATAAATATGTGTGTATATAATTTTATATACACATACAGATCCACCCAGACACAGAGACACACACATCTAATTCTAAGAAAAGACAAGAAGCCAAAGAAAACGGATATGTGGGATAAATTACATGAAAAGTAGTGATAGTACCAGGCAAACATCAAAAGAAGGCTAGGTTGTGTGTGGGAAGGCAGTAGAGCCAAAGCACTGGACATGTTCACGTCTGACAATATGACTCACCATAGTCTAATCAGGTGCAAATAAAAGTTAAATGAGACGAGCCTCCTCCTCCTCCAATAGATCTGGAGGAATAAATGTAGATAATAATAGCCTTTCCCACAGTACCGGGTGTCAGGGAGACTCTGTATGGCACTGTAAATCTTTACTAGTCTTGAGTAAAAGAGACACTACACTGGATCACTGATCAAATAAAAGCCCTTAAATGAATTGCAAATGGTGCCATTATTAATTACCAGCAACAAGAAGCTTTTGCTGTCGCATTTGTTCTTTCAATAATAAATGTTGCAGGAGAGCCTGGTGGCTGCTGTTGGGCTTTCCCTCTAAAGCAACATGAGGATGGCTTGAAGATGCTGGGATGCTGCCCCCGTACTGCCCAGGTAGAGGAACACCTTGCCTGAGCGTCTGCGTCTCACACTTCTGCTTTTCTTTGAGTGAATTAGAAGCCTGTGTCAAGAAATAACAAAGATGTTTATCTTCTTTCATTCATGTGAGTCATTAGGTCTCTATGTCATTAGATGAGTTTCTTATGCCATAATTTCCCAAAACACAAACCCCATCTTACCCAATGGCTGAGTCGGCCAAATGGATAACAGCATGTCTTTTAAACTAAGTAAATTGACAAAGGAGAAATAAAAATAGGGTTGAAGCACTGAGACAATTTAGTATTAAGCATCATTGTACAGAAACTAAAAATTATTTTTTTAAATATTAGCAGTGGTGCTAGATACAAAATTTCAATTAGACAAGAAGAATGAATTCCAGAGATCTATTATACATCATGGTGACTACAGTTAATGACAATATATGTATATATGAAAAGTGCTAAGAGTATATTTGAAGGGTTCTCATCACAAAAAATAAGTATGAGATATAATGCATATAAGATAATTCATAAAATAATGTATAATTAGCTGAAGTCATTCCACAATGTGTACACATATCAAAACATCATGTTTTAAACCATAAATGTATACAACTTTTATATATAAATTAAAAACAAAGAAATGATGCTGATTTCAGGCTTAGTGAAGGTTTATTTGTAAAATACTTTAAAATATACTTCTTAAGTAAAAGATTTATTGGAAAGGTAAAATTTATTCAGATAGTTAAACTAAAGACTATCTCATAAGGATGAAGAGGCCAGAGATAAAAGGGTCTGTAATTTTGGAGTTGCAAGCAAAAGGAATAAGTCACCCTTTCTCTACATGTCTTCTAACAAGTTCACAGAGCTGTAAGTTTCCAATATTTAATTTTTAAGATGAAAATTTTAAAATAACGAAAGGAGGTACAAAATATGCAGGAATTTGATTTAAACCTGTACTTTATATTAATTCATAACAGATCCCCAAATCTCTAAATATTGAAAATGACACTCCAGATATTTCGTATAATAAAGTAAACTACAAGTGAAATAAGATATCAAATAAAAATGCTATTAAGAACTTGAAACGTATGATAACACAGTAATAAGGCAATAATAATTATATCATCAACTGCAATAATGAATTATCCTATTCAAAGAATTTAATGAATGGTGGTCATTTTGGTATTACAAAAGCAGGAGTCTAATACCTAAAAATTATGTGGCGTGTTTCTTTTCAAAACTCATGTTTCATCTTTCAAAATTGCTGTGCACCAGGGAAGCAAAGCAATTTTCAGTGATGGTGAAATTGAAGGACAAAGAGGTAAGTGGTTTGTCTGAGTCACAGAGCAAGTCAATGTAATATTTAATCTAGAAGTGATTCCTTGTCCTGGCCTCTTTTCCTTAAAATTTCCTAGTAGTCAGTGGGGAAACGGAATATTAGAGATCCCTTTGCCAAAAGCAATGCTAAACTTGAAAAATTAATTGTGATGGCCTCATCCACACCAAAATGGAAGCAAAGAAAAATGAAACTTTAATCCAAACCACATTGGTTTATTCATCCAATGGTACCAAATTGTATTACCATTGAAATATTAAATGGTCTGGCTTTAGTACTTGGTCCTTTGGGAAAAAATTTTCCCTGACCACATTAAAAGTGGTGCATGTGTGAGTTAGCATGGAGGAGTGGCTTAGAACATGCAAAAAGCAGTGAAAATAAAATGCCTATTTATGTGTCATAAGAAGCTTTTAGGTTAGTATTTACTCATCATTAGGAGAGATGGGAAAAATCGGAATAGAAGAAAAATAAATTTTAATATGTAATAATTTAAAAATATTCATTAATATTTATTATTTATTTTAGTTTCATTCCTAATTCCTTTTTTTTTATTCCCTAGAACCAATTATTTATAAATGTTTCATGTGGATTTTCAAGGATGTATCTGAATTCAGGATTTTCAAATCTTTCTTTTTCAATGCCCAGACATAAAACAACATTCAAGTTTTGCTTTCTTCTCACTGGTATAAGATCATAGTATCACATGAACTAACACTCTAGTATAAACACCAGATATAACAGCAGATATAATAAAATATCTTTGACTGACTTTACAATTTATATTGAACATACATGTAAATTTGACACAGCAGACTCAGTGAAAGACTTCATATTAAAGATTGGCCAAATCAGTGACAAAGGTAGGAACAAAGTTCTCTCTAAACCTAATGTGTCACATGAACTCTGTATAGGTACAATTTTCTACTACCATTTCAGAAATGAATTATTCTGGGTAAAACTCACAAATCTTTTACAGCAACTAAAGCTGATAATATTTTAGGGACTATGAATAAAATAATTGTTGCTATCTTCTGCTAATTACCTCCAAAAGAGACTACTTTAGTTGTGAGGACTTTTAATTTGATCGATTCACTTTAAATCTCCTGGGAATAGTCTAATACTGTTCTTTAGACAGTTTTTCCACAGGATCAGTAACTTAAATTCCCAAAATAAAGTCATTCACAAAATAAATTCTATAAACATATGCTGCTGTGCTTTAGAAGCTATGCCGCTCAGCACTGCCCTGGGTTTTGTTCCAGGTCTGCTACTTACTGGCTCTGTGATCTTGGGCTTTTAAATTCTCCAAGTCTCAGCTGCTGCTTCTGTAAAAATGGGCGGCTGTAATCTGTTTCATGGGATAGATGTGTGGAGCTACTAAAATAATATATCTGGAGAGTGCTTTCTTTTTAAAGCTATATACCATTACACAAATGATAGTTATTATTTTATGAATGATTATGTGAACCAGTATAATTGCATGATTTGAAATTAAACTGAACCATCTTTGAACAATGCATAAAACAGTAAATAGGGAAGAAGCTGATTCTACCAAGTTTTTCTCAAGTCTAAATATATAAGAAATGAAAGGGCACTCCCTATGAAAATATCGGTCGGGCTGGTTTAGGCTGATGCTGTGCAGTGACTTACATTGAGCTGGGATGGCACTGCTGGAAGCCCCAAGGTAATGTTGGGCAAAGACGGAGAGGTATAAAGACTTAGCAGGTTCATGGAATCTTCATGAATTAGAATGCGTTGCTGTGAAACCATTTGCTGTTCAAAAAAAGAGAGAGGGTCTGAAATTATCACAGATTTTACTGTAAAACGCTTACATTTCATAAAGTAGGTCTTATCATCATTCTACAAAAGATTTAAGTATTTATTTTATGACTTCTGTATCTGAGAGTTATAATGTAAAAACTAAATAAAAATTTTATACCTCAAACACACTTGTAAAATCTGAAGAAAGGGCTTCTATCTTCATTTTTGCAAAATTCATTTATAAAATTCTGGCTTCATGGAATATGATCAGCATGTTTGTTATCTAATGGTGAAGTACAACAATCAAACTCGGTAGTTTGGATTAATATATGCTTTTTTGTATTACTGAGTGAAAAAAATACGTATATAATGCTGCCATAGTCATTATCTTCACCTGATCTTCATTTAATGTCATTTTACTGATGGGAAAACCCACATAAGAAAATCTTAGATTAAATATTACCATATTGGGCTTCCATAGTAATCACATCTTTTTTAATACAAAAATTTATGAATAGACAACCCTGTGTGGTGTATTTTTAGATCATTCATATTCAGAAACTAAAGTAAATGTTAAAATGTTATGAGTTCCCTATGCCACAATAGCCTTCATTTACACCGAAATACCCTGAACATTTTGGCATCGCAGTGCTTTTTACAACAAATACCTTTTTTTAATCCATTACTAAGAGTCATGTTTTCCCACATGTGGCCTAATATGGTTGCTTGAATTACATTTTCTGTTTAACTCTTGCTTCCCTCCCAGAACTTTTATACAATAAGAGTTACAAAGGTCTTATTAGACTAGGGAACTCTGGCCTGATATGGTCCCCAAGGGAACAACATCCCTGAAAAAGAATACTCCATGTAACAGTATGACACAGTGACTGCTTTCTTCCCAAACAAAAAGCATATGGGACTCCAATAATAGACCACCTCCAGGAGGGATATTGCACACACGGGCTTTGACTAAAGTAAATATAATAACTTGTCAAGCATGTTTGGGGGAGCTGTAGATTTTCCCCTGGACAAACCTGGGATATCAATTAACTGAGGAACATATCATGTGCTAATACAATGCAACCTCAGAATGTCACTGAAGAGTGATGCTCCACCAAAACACAGGATGTTATTCCAAAACATCATCTCAATCATACGTTTGTTTGGAGATGAGTCCTTGTCTTAACATAAGAAGAGCAGAAGGTTAAATGTAGCGTTTTCTCATTGCGACTTGGAACTCCAAGCTAACTCAGATTTTGTTTCTTCTTAAAAGAACATGTCAGATATTTGTGCAAGAAAATGAAGAGACATATTGAAACCAATAACGTTACATTGACTTTACATGCAACCCTTTACAAAATTAAAGTTGTCTAAAATGTCACAGCATGAAGATGGTTGGAAAAGACTTTAAAATTACAATGTGTGAGATTGCAATTTTATTTTGGGAGCTCTCAGCCGTAGTTGCATATTTGATCTAAATAAAAAGGCAAGCTACTCTTTTGCTTATACAAGTTAAGCTGTTAACATAAATTTTAATATATACCTGAACAAGAACAAAAAGAATGTTTAAGGAAGTGAAATATTTTAACTGGCTTTTTGGCAGGAAATAGTAATTTTAAACAAAAGGATATTCCATTCACTTATCTGTATTCATAGAAGAGAAAAGCAGTATGGAAAAATAAGCACTTTAAATAATGTATAATCATGCAAGTTTGTATCTGCTTCTCACAGCACTGAAATTTGACGTGAACTGTGGGAATGACACCCCAAAATACCACGGACCTCACAAAAGAGTTTATCTCTGTTTCCCAGAGAGAATTTCTGTGATAATCCTCCCACCTCATCACAGGAAGCAGACTTATACCAAAATGAGAAATGGATTTCTTCTCAGAGGTAATGATGGTGGCAGCACACTGACTTCACACACTGGCTTTCACTAAGAAGGAATTCGGGGATATTCTTACTCTGGGATTGCAGACCCCTGCAGTTGCATCTAAAAATTGAATGGCTCCATTTTCTATGGCAATGCATTTATCTCCAGCACCTGCCATGTGCCAACCCCTGGGCCATGGATTTTTCTGGAGGTTAACCTAGTCTTCACAGGCACTCTCAAAAGCTACCACTATGCTCGTGTTGGAGATGAGGACAGAGTGATTTCCCTGATTCTGCTTCCTTGCAGGATCAGCAATGAAACTTTTAACCTGACCAAGGTGACTTGTTGCCAGGTGCTGCTACAGAAAGTACACAGCATTCCAGGGAACCCCAAAGAAGCACAGAGAACGGTGGCAGCTTTAGAGGAGGAGAGAGAGCACAGAAAGGGATAAAGGAGTGCAACTGGGAGCCAGTTGACCTGGGCATGAGGAAAAAGCCCTGGTGACTCTATAGACGTGAGGATCTTCAAGTTACGGAGGTAATTCCTGTGGAAGCAAGGAAGGTTCTGTGTCCACTGGTATAGTTGGTCCTTCCCATAGACACTAACTGGTATAATATCATTCCATAGAAATTTCAGGGACTTTGAGACTTGGACATTGCTTAGCTTATCTCCTCTGATTATCGATAAGGAAGTAAGAAGAGAGTTTATGTAGACCTCCAATGTCTAGAATCACCAATGACTTAACAGAACTGAGAAACCATTTTCTTCAAATTATTTTCTTTAAATACAGCTTTCCTCAACTAAGCTTTTTTCTAGGAGCAGTCTATCTTTTCCAGGTTAATATCTCTTAACAAAACCTGGAGTGGTATTCGACACTGCTAATTGAGCACAGGCACACTTGAAAGCCAGACTAACAGGTTGTGGGGAGTAGCATTCCACTGAGACAATGAAGGAGCCTGTCCAGTAATCTTGCAAGGCTGGAAAGCCACCCCACCTTAGGGTTGTGGTGAGCTCACAAGTATTTTCAGGCAAAGCCAGGATTTTTCCAGGGAGCAGTTTTGAAACTGATCCAGCCCTTAAATCAGTGCTTTGCTAAGACGCCAACATTTCACAGCTTAGAACATGGGAAAGATGTTTTTAATCTGAAAAAATTTTTAGAACCAGAAACTTTTCTTGTGGTTAGACAAAATGGAAATATTAAATGTATGAATGGCTATCATTTAACCTTTACAAAACAATTAATGAGTAACTCCGCTGTGTTGGATTAATGGTGTTAGATAAGATGTATACAAAGACGTTCTATACCACATAAATTTACATACTAGTCATAGAAAAGGTGCATAGAAAAGTAGAGAACTAACTCTAATGACCTGTAATAATTACTATAATTAGCATAGGGTTAAAATACTTTGATAGCACAGAGGAAAGTGTCAATTTTAAACTAGGCTTTGATGGCTAACTAGCATTTCATAAGAAAGAGCATGATGTTGGTCAGGGAATATGAACTGGGCTGGGCACTGGGAGAGGCTATTCATTTTTGGTAAGGCTCTTTAAATTTTCATTTTTTTTTCTTAGATATGGGGTGTCATAGAACACAGTGGTAAGATCATAGCTCATTGCAGCACTGAACTACTGGGCTCAAGTGATCCTCCTACCTCAGCCTCCCAAATCGCTGGGATTATCGGTGTGAGCCACTCTGCATGGCTCAAATTTTCATTTAATTTCTTTTCTCACTATTATGCCAATGGAAAGGATATCTTATAGATTATATTTTGCAATTAAGTTGAATAAAACACACATAGATTGAAAACTTTTGTTTCTCAACAGATCTATTTATGTAGGCATTGAAATTAAGAAGCTACTAGCTTCAATTTAAAAAACTTAGAATCTCTTTCAAAGTAGACATTGGCAAAAATTAGAAAAATTGATAATGTCAAATGTTACAGAGATTTACAAAAGGTAAAAACTCTCACATATTGCTAGCAGGACTGTAGATAAGTCAAGCAATTCTAGTGAATAATTCAGCACTATAAGCCAAGATAATTATACTATACACCATGACCCAGTAATTCATCTGCTAGGAATTATAACATTAAGAAATTCTCTCATTAAGCGGTAGGGTGATGTCCATGGGTATATACTGATGCATTTTCTGGTGATGGCTGGGGATTGGAGGCCACCAGGACATTGACCTCTGGAATAGGTAGGTAAAATAGAGTAACACCCACCATGGATTTTTATGGTAATTACAAGCAAACCATTAGATTTCTGGATCCATAGAGACATGAATGGATCTAAAAACATATGCTTAGTGATAGAAGAAATGGAATGAGACACATAAACACAGTGCCATTTATATGCACTAAAATTCATGGGCACAAGGCAAAAAATATATATGATGTAAGAACCCACATAAACAAAAACACAGAAGAGAATGACTGCCTATGGGGATAAGGAAAATAGAAGTGGGGAGAGGAGATATACAGGAGGAGAAAGGAAAGAGAGAGAAAAGGAAGGAGTGAGGTAAGGAGGAAAAAGATAAATGAATACCTTTCTCACCATTAACGAGACAAAGTAGCCAATTGATGACCCTTGACAGAATACTAATTATGGGAATAATTACCTGTTTTTAAGCAGTTCACAAGAAAAATGGATGTAGAATTTTCAGTTTACTTTATGCTTGAAATTATATATTACACAATATGCACAAGATTCAGAAAAAGTAAAAAAAAATACATACAGAGTTTTGGTGAGAAGCAGTCTGGACTAGTGAAAAGAAGTTTGGTCTAAGAGTCTCAGACTTGAACTCTCCTATTCATTGGCTTGTGGCTCAAGGCACAACTACCTTCCCTGGACTCACCTTCCCTTAGCCTAGGACTGAGGCACCCCTGGCTACCTCTATCAGGTAACATCTTCGTCCATCCGAATGGCATACAGGAAGACCACTCATAAGCCTCAATCAACTTTGAGTTTTAAAAGTCCCAAATCCCCAAAATCCAGACTATCTAAAAAGAAGAGAGCCACTCTAAAAGAAAAAAAAAAGCCTTTAATTATTTAATGTTTACCTTATTTTTCAAGATTGTGTTTATTTTCTACCCTCTTTCAGATAGCTGATGGAAAATTAAAATCTCCATGTAATTAAAAAAGAAAATTGTTTAGGCAGTAAAAATCTCTTAAGTTTTTATTTTTCCTGGACACCCATGAAGGTATTACTATAAAATAGTTGTGAGACAAAAAAAAACAACCACACACACAAAAACATTTTGACGGAATTTGTTTAGCATTTGAAAGGCATTGATGTTTTGCTAAAGATCTTGCTTTACGATATTGACTCATACTATTCCTAGTAATGATTTTTTTTTGTTATAGCAACCTCCTTTCCCTGGGGGGGCGGGGGGGGAGTGTTTTATTTGCTGCCATCAAAAACCATAGCTCTCCACCCACTCAGAAGGGAGTATAACATTTATAGCAAATGTCACAACAACTATTATGAAACAATAGGCAGATGAGTCATGTGAAACAGGGGCAAAACAAGTGACATTTCAGATGAATTTAGAACACTTAACCTTATTATTAGAATCCTTTTTGAAATCATTTGTATCTGCTGGAAAAAATTATTTAAAATATAACATAGCAGAGACAGCCACTAATGTTCAACTAGAAATAAACCAGGAGCTTGGCTACTGCTAAAATAGCTATCAAATAAATCTACTGAGTCTAAAGTAATGGTGTTGATATCCATGGAAACATATTTGAACCCACAGGCCCACACTATTAACAATAAAGTAACTAGATAGGTAAAGACATCTTTGACTGGAGTTGGAAATAGAAACCCGTGAGGTTTCAGCTCCTCAACCGAGTTTACAAATGAGTAAAGCAAGTAGCTCCAACAATCTGAGTTCTGGGACTGAGCATATGTAAGAAATAGAAGGAATGGAACAGAAGTGGTCAGAGCAGATGGAGACTCACACTCACATGAGAGTTGCTGGCTTGAAGACAAACATGCTAATGAGTTTTCCCTACCAGGAGTCAGCATTGACAATAACAACAAAAAATGAACTTCCTTCGAACTTCACAATTTACCACCTGCCTTCCGAACACTGATTGCTTACAACAGAGATGTTGGCGCAGGTGTTATAGTACTACCTTTTACTAGATCGGGAATCTGAGGGTCAGGGGAAGTTTGGCAACTGGGCCAAGGATGACAACGTAGTTGGTTTTGGAGCCAGGTTCACGCTGAGTCTTCTGAATGGAACGCCCATGCATTCCACTACATTGCGCTATTTCCTGAGACCCGACTTATGAGTAAATTCCTCTGCTTCTGTCTTCCCTTTATCTAAATTAGGCAGGACATGTGAATTACAAGATAGAAAATTTTGTTTTCATCTAGGGCTCAAGATCTTTAGATACAGCCTTGCTTTCCTATTTCCTAAGCAGCAAAAGGGGCAGAATCCCATTCATGTACCTGGGCTCTCAAAGAATTAGGTGACATGCTTTATTTACTACTTCCGGGTTATAAAATAAAGAGTTCACCATGATACCATTTTAAAATGAAAACTCACCTGTACTGCATAAGCAAAAATGGTAGAGTAAGCTTATTTTGTAAATGAAGTATTATGTAAATAATTCATACCCCCAAAATATTTCTGTTGCTATGAAATCACGTACTATTATTAATGTTAGGAGACACCCGTAAAAACATACTAAATTCTAAGTAATGGTAAATGAAGTATGGCTGAGAATATATTTTTTCTATTTTCTATTTGAAATCTCTTCTCCAGTTTAGGTGGACACATTTAGTGTTACAAAGATAGGGTATTAATTTGCTGACAGTGTCAGTCTGAATTCCACTGTCTCCTCACCTAGCCAGAATGAATTACACTACAGAGCTCTGTAAATGCAATACAGCAGAAAACCACATGTTAGCCATCAGGGTTGCATTTTTTGTTCTGGGCCACGGAGAGGCTACCCATCAGTGCATTAAGGTCTGCCCACCTGGCCTTTTGGATCATAGTTCAGGCACACAATTAATTCATTATGAAGTAAGTCACTGCTTGCTTTTGAACTAGTCTTTCCAGCTCTGGAGGTGAATGTCCTGTCACTGACCTGAAGAAATACCTCTACCCTTTTAAACTCCATTAAATCACATTTCCTTCTGTTTTGTTTTTCTTTTTTTTAATGGTTAGGGTGGAAAGAAAGGTTTGTAGTGACAGAATTTGTTCAACAATTAGCTGAAAAGCTCTAGCGTCTAAACAGATAATTTCTGACAGTTAAGGTTTTAGGAATATAAAGCAGATTAAAATAATATATACAAACTCCCTAAATTTATATTCTCCACTATTTTATTTACATATATATTTAAAGATAAGGTCACATAATCTGTGACATTACATTTAATTTAACTTAATTTAATAGGTCATAAAAGGCTTGAAATTTTCCATTTATTGCTGGTGTTACCAATGTATATTTTTTGGTTGTTCTGATATGTTGTACTAAGTGGTGAATGCACATGTGTATGTATCTATAATGAAGGAATACATGTAGCTTCTTTTTTAGTAACTATCAAACCATAATTTCCTCCTTGCTTCCTCCTGAAAGATAATCATGACACTACATTTTGTGTTCATAACTCGATTTTGTCTTTTTAAAATATACTTTTACTACATATTCTCAACAAAATATTATGTTGCTATTTCTGAACCTAATAAAATGCTACCATGCTGCAAGTGGTCTTCTGAGACTTATTGCATTGACAATGCATTTCTAAGAATCATACATGCTGTTAGGTAGAATTGTAGTGTGTTGTTTTCATTTTCTGAGGGTACAAAATCCATCCAGGGACTGATTAGAACCCAGACCCTTGGATGTTTCTGCAATTACTAAGAATCACATTCTTCAAACTGAGAGAAAATGGAAATCTAAAGTTTTGTTTTTTTTTTAAATTTGGGACTAACTTGTCCTTTACCTGGAAATCGATTAAAGGGATTATAGAAAACTGACTAATATTGAGATATAATTGCACTAACCAAAAGACAATAACTACAACTAGTAGTCCAATAATCCCACTCACGTCTCTGGTCACAAATATACACAAAAGTGTTTATTCGATCTGCTGCCATGTTTTTGAGAGTATAACAAAATAGGGAAAGAGGAGCAATAGGATGGCAAGAACAAGAAAAAGATGAGGGACCTAGAGATAATGTAGAGGCCCAAATTATTGTTCTTCGAATAGCTAAAAGATGATCATAAGTGAGAACCTCTATCTATTCTACTCATGTTCCTTGGGAAATTATTTGAGAGAAACATTTGAAATCTAGAAGAAAGATACATTCCTCTAGAGAGGATTTATATTTGTGTTTTGCAGATACCTGGGGGGACTACAAATTTGGGGCCACTTTAAGCTAAATTACCAGCTTGAAGTTATGTGATTTGAGCTGCACTTCCACACAAGGACTAGCTTGTTGTTACAGCTTCTCAGGGAGAGAACCTGCCCTCTATTCTGCTCCGTATCAAGATAGCTCTGGGAGTGGGATTGGTGACTCACCAATATAGCATAGATATGGGCCTTTGGGACCCCAGTTTAGTGTTTGGAAGATCTCCTATTAGATTATCCTCTGGCTCAGTACTGGGCTTTGTCTTGAATCTCCTGAGTTTTGAGAGGCCCTGAAAATCAAAGCTCAAACTCAAGTATACAAAGGTCCTTGGAGCAAAATTGCCTTCACTGGCTTCAATCCTTTGCTTGTCCTTTGCTAGGGATAACCTCTGAGTTTCTTCCTTCACTTATATTTTGGCCTGATGATTTCATAATTTATAAATAATTTATTATACATAGGCATATGTGTGTGCTTATGTGCAAGATAGACATGAAATTATAGAGCAACAGATACTTTGGAATAATATGCAGAGATATTTCTATCAGTCAAGATAACTATTTAAAATCAACTGGGTTTCTTCAGGAGACAGAAAACTGAGCTCCCTATCAGTAGAAGCATTCTAATAGAGGTTGGAGAATCACATGGCAGGAAAGCTACAAAGGTGATCCAAGAATCAGAGCTTTGACCAGTCCCTTTCTGCCCCAAGGAACCATGATTCTATAAAATGCAAAGGAAGAAGCATGTCACATTTATATGAGAAGTTACCACACCAGCTCTCCCTGCATAGATCAAGGCTTAGTGAAGAAGGCATTATCATGACAGAAAGGAAAAAAATAGGGTTTCTAATCAATGGATGGTGAATTCAAGAACAGCTGATTCCATGAGTGGCTACTTTCAGACTGGTGCTTTGCTTAGCTTAAAACAGAAGCTACAAAGAAAAATTCTTGCTGACTTCCATATTTACTTTCCTCTTAGTCTTGTATCGCTGGTTACAACAAATCATGTGTTACTTTAAACTAATTTCCTTTAACATGTCATTCATTCTTCATGTTTTTGTTCATATTTATATGACCATTGCCAGGCAAAATGACTGGCATATAGCAGATGCTCAAGAAATGTTTGCTAAGTGGAGCTCTGTATCTCTTAACTATAATGCTCCAGTTAGTTTTCATTACTCTTCAAGTCAAATGGGTAAAAGTTACCTTGCTAGGTTGCTCTGAGAGGTTTACATGAAGTTGTTTTTACTTACTGATGTGTATACTCCCATTATAATAAACAATAACTAAGCAGAAGGACTAGTAAGTTGCCTAACCATTGGGCAATATACACACAGGAAGACTAAGAATGGATTATTTGACTATTACATTTCAATATTTTTCAAACCCTGACTGCCGTCCAAACATCCCCAATTGTTTTATTTATAAATAAGATCAAGTTTACTCAATTTCTCATATTATAAATCTGTAAGAAAAATAACTGACATTTATTTAAATCAGTTAATAAATATCAGTCAGTTTTCTTATGGGTTTATTTATATTAGTTGATAAATATCAGTTTTTTTCTTATAGGTATATAATATTTACATCAGTTAATAAATACCAGCGTTTTGTAAAAATAGGTTTATAATGTGTGAAATTGAGCAAACTTAAATTCATAAAAATCACTTGGATATTGAACTTCAACTCAGAAGTAGTGCTTTGTATTAGGTAGCTAATCAGGGATTCAACTTTTAAAAGAACCAAAATAATAAGGGTCTTACCTCAGCATGAGGAGTAGGAGGCAAAACCGAAGTCTCGTTTTCAGTAACATTCCCAGTTGGCCCGTTGTTTGGTGAGCTGGGACCAGACCCTGGAGAACTGCTACTGACTGAGGATTCTGAAAAATATTGTGAAGTACAAATGTATTCATAAAAAGCATACAGAGATGCACTTAGTTACTCTAAGTAACATACTACATTGGGCATTGTTTTATTTTCCCTCTATGTAAATGATAAGTAGCATTTCACTAAACAGAAAGAACTATAAAAATTTTTGGAACAAGGCTGGGTGCAATGGCTCATGCCTATAAACCCAGCTCTTTGGGAGGCCAAGGCTGGAGGATCTCTTGAGCTAAGGAGTTCAAGGCTGCAGTGAGCTATGATCGTGCCACTGTACTCCAGCCTGGGTGACAAAGAGAGACCCTGTCTCAAAAAAAATTGGGGCGGGGGGACATTTCTGAATTTTTCTATCAGTTTTCCCCCTGTATTTTCACTGCAAAGAAAGGACAACATAATATTCAACAGTTTCTAGAGAAGTAAAGATACTCAGTTAGAGAGGGTCATAGCAGCTTTTGATGAAAAAAGAAAATTGAAGAAAGGAATCTTTTCTTACTTGCCCTTGTGCTATCCTAAAAAATAATACTAATGGAGATAATGTACTTGCATATGTATGTCAAAAATACAGGTTGTTAACACATGAGGTCCAGAGCTGTTCCTGTTATGTCTGCAAAAATTGCTTATATGCTGTGCTGTAAATTGCTCTTAATGATATACTAAGGCTATGCCTTATTATAGTACATGAGTCAAAGATGAATTAAGTAAATATAATAAAATGTAAAATCTCAACATTGTACTGATTGCCTTCATCTGACTTTTAACTCTACTTATTTTCCAAAACATGAGGCATTGGCTAAATTTAACATGTAAAATTTTAAACACCGACATAGTAAGAAATTCCATTGAGCAAAAGTTGACAAGACAGATTATTTATTTAACTCATCTCTTTACTCTTCACATATAAAATTCACATGCACAAAACTTATGGGGAAACGAACACATTTATTAAAACATCTTATAAAAAAATACACATTTCCAATTCCTAGAAGTATAGCTCCAGACGTCATCTTCTCTAGCCTTGGAAAATTAATCACTGAGCTCTATTTAATTCCTTATCACCTTCTACAGTTCATTTATTTCAAAAGTTTTCTAGTTGCCTCAGCCTTATGTCTTGTCAACCCAGCTCCGCACAAATGATCTTGCCTCATAGTTTTCAAAGACTGAGGACTTCTGATATGATTCCCTCCAACACCTTTTCTTTCTTCTACCTCATGATTATGTTATCTATATTCTCCTTCCCCATTTCAAAGGTAAAGCATTCTCTTCTTCTCCTCTCTCCAATGTTAGCACATTTACTTCTACCCATAATCCCACCCTGTTACATGAAATCCTTTCAAGATTTTGTTCCATAAGTTATCTGGAATCTTCAGGCCCTTCTTCTCCACTGCAATTGCCCCTCTAGTCTGACAGTGTGCTAATAACTCTTGCGAAGTAGTGACTTCTCATGATGTCTGCTTGTTTCTTCACGCCCTGGTAATACAGCTTACCCACTATCAACCACAACTGTTTGCTTAAATGCTACCAAGTTTAAAGGCTTTTGAGAAAACATTCCTTCCATATCCTTCCTACGGTAACATTCTCTACCTCCTTACTCCTCTTTCCAACTCTCTGACTTTTTCCTCACCTATCAATTCTTAAATTCATACAAACACCTAAGTTTGTGGCCTTTTCCTTTTCCTCTTTCTCTTGTCAAAGTCACTCAATATCGTGACTTCAAATGTTACTTTTAGGCACAGTAAATCTCCTAAAACTTACAGTTCTTGCCTTTAACTCTCATAAATTCCAGGCCGAATACCTCTGGAATGCCAGACATTTTTGATCTCCCCTTATATGTGTGTCAAAATCAATGTACGTATTCTAATATTAAATGTTTCCTGCTTATCTCCGTTATTTTATCACCACCCTTAGAGTTATCCTTATTCCCCTTTTTACCCTAAATCTAACAAGTTACTATGTCCTTCCAACTTGTTCTTTACATTATCTCGCATCTATATCTGACTAAAATCATTTGCATTTAAGGCCTCGTGATTCTATCATGACCTATAGCAAAAGTCTCTCAATACCTCTGAGTGGCTATAGGAGTCCCTCAAAACTTTCTTTGGATCTCTTGCCAGAGGGTCATATTAATACAACTTCCACCATGTTCCTCTGCTCCAAAGTAGGGCCTGATATTATTTCCCACTGTTGCCATTTCTGCACACTGCACTCAGTCAAATTAAATCACCTAATCTCCATAAGTGCCAAATACTTCCCTGTTTCATATGTTTTTATCCTCTTTTTCCTTCACTTACTTCATTGCTGGCCTAATCCCACCTGTAAATTCAAAACATGTCTCATGTACCATCTGTCCCACAGAGAACAGGAACTCCCAACGTCCAGGCAATATTTTCTTGCCCTCCCTCAGGTCACCTGTAGCTTTCAACTTTCTATTATAAATATTTCTCTACACAGAATTGTAGTGTCACTGGAAAGAATGAGACTGGTGACAGAATTTGGATCCTGCCACATATTTACTGTGAGACTTGAAAAGGCCAGGAGTATCAAAAATGCTTAAATACATCTTGCTCACTGCCTGACTATATATCTGCTTACATTTTGATAATTTTTTAAATCTTTACCTCTTTCTTGTTTGCTCTTTTTTAACAAAGAAAATGCACATCTTTTTTTTTTATTTTTATAGGAGCATATTTTCCCAAACCCCTAACTCTTGTCTTTGTGCTATGCCTAAGTACTGATTTCTCATTAATGTCTCATTTACATATCATTTCCATTTCCATTTTTTAAAAACTATTTTCTTAAACATTCTGTCTTACCAGTTTTAAATTATATTATTTATATTATCTTATGTGATAGTTAGACTAAAGTATTTGCTTATGTAGAAATTGCTGCAATAAGCACTAAAATTCAAGGCAGCAACTACTGCAACACAAGGTTCCATAGCATCACACTGGACGGTATCTGGGAGGAGGTACAACCAATTTTCTGGAAACACTGAGAAAAATCTCAGAGAAGGAGTGATATTAGGACTGGAGCTCGAAGAAAAGTAGATTGTGAAATGGTGCCGTGGAGAAGGGGAGAATGGACGAGAAGGTGCTGCAGGCACAGGGATGAGTCAATGCCTGGAATTTTAAAAGAATAGGGCTTTGTGGGGATAAGAGGGACAGAAACATTTGAATTTGAGGAAGATGGCAAATGCTTCCCACATCAGCCACTAGGAGGAGAGAGGTGGCATGGGTTTGAAAAGAGCTTACAATGGAACCTATGAAATGGGGAAGAGAGAAAAGATACAGAGGTAAGAGAATAACAACAGCAACACAATCTAACTGCTATCATGCCATGACAGCGTCTGCCTAGATACTAAAAATATTTAATATTATGATCCAAATTAGATGAAAGTTGGCAGTCAAATGGGAAGGAGTGCAGGTGAAGACAGCTGTGTCAGTAGTTCGAAGCCTACAAAGACACTGGCATAGAAGTTAAAAATACCTACCAAAGCATCCACAAATCCCACCGACTGACCAGAAATGTGTCTGTAGTAAATGCACAAGTCTGTCTTCAAATACACATTATTTTTATGGTTGAAAAGGGGAGTCATTATCTCACAAAAATAAGAAGAAAAATATATTTTAAATGTAAAGAAATTCAAGTAAAACTCTGGCAAACCATAAGCCTTATGAATGAGAACTAATCATTACTGAGGTTAAGTATTGAGCTAAACTCCACTGCTTTTTGGTAAGGATGAGAAAGTGACTGTAGAAAAAGTTATGATCAAGAAAAGACTAATAGGGAAATAGAAAACCATATTAGGATAAATAAATATCATTTTAGATAGTAAGATTATAAAGCAGAAAATATAGCAATATATACAGTTTTCCCTTTTCCTCAAGTTTTTCTGTTAGAGGGAACCTACTCTCCCTGGTTAGAAAAACAAGCTATCACCATTTACATTAGACAGCTGATAGGTGTATTATTCTTTTACATACATTAAAACAACCCCCTTCCCAAAAGCGCACCACCAAAGATTTCTATTAGGAAAACTTAATTAAGATTTTTACTTACTTAGACACAATAATATTTCTTGGAAAAAAATCAGTAACACCAAACTTAGAATTCAATTCATATATATTAGTGATTATATTTGGTGCTACAAAATAGATATAAACTCTAGTAAAACAATTTTACTTATTGTTTTACTTATTGTTAATTTCGTTAATATTTCTTATACCTCAAGGAAAAATTGTCCATTGTCATCACTAATACTTTTCTTCAGATGAGCACATTGATCTGTCAGGATTGACTAGGAGACTGAATTTTTTATTCCTAAATAACCTGTCAAACTTTTAAGTTACATTAATATTCTCTTCCTAAATACACTTTTCTACCTCTACTTCCATAATCCTTCTCCAGATTGTCTCCCTGAATCTACACACTGTATGGACAAAAGAAAGATATAGAAAATAAAGAATTTTTTAAAACCTACCAAGGGTAAGATCTGATCTTATAGAACTAATACCAACTGCCTGCATTGGTATTAGGACAATTTTCCTTAAGAATGGAGAAAAATTGTTGCAGATTATCACTTCTTCCTTGGTGCAACCAAAGAAAAAGACCAGGTAGCAAGCATGGCTCTAAGTAGATACTCAATAAACAGTAGTCAGTATTATTACTGTGGCTAGCCTTTTTGATTCTTGTATATTTTAGGTCTTCTCTAATTTCAAACCAGGTGCAACTGGGACTAGGGGCATTTGTAAGACATCAGGTTGAATTTCCTAACCTGTTCACCCCACTACTAACCAGGCAGCTAAAAAAATAAGAACTCTTCCATCTGAGACCAGTGAAAATGACAGTTTCTTCCTCTTTGTAAAAAGCAATATATCCCCCTCCTACCTTAAGTCCCAGTTCACTAGTAAACACATAAAGTCATTTATGAGTTCTGTAAATTTGTTGAAAAGTCAAGGTTTTGCTGTTCTATGTAGTTTAATTTTCCCAGATGTATTTTTTACATTCATGTCTGAGTAGGGGGGAAGTGTTCTTCTTGGACCTCTCTCTGCTCATTTCTGATCAAATTTCATTAAAAAGTTATATTCTCCTGGTTGGCATTCCCAAAATGGACTGCCTGTTTCTGAAAAGAATAAGGTGAGCTTTAGTGTTCCCTAGTTATGCCTTGATTGACACATAGCTCTGTTTCTTTTTTCATTCATTTCCTGTTTAACATTGGTGAATGCATAGCAAGGTTTACTGAACTACTTGTGAGTTTTCAATATAATTTCCTTCCAAGAAATATTTCTCCTCAAAATAACTTTTAATATGCAGCAGTTACATTTATTCTAAACTATTTTTTTTTCATTTCTATTAATACTACCAGCATTTGTTAGTGTATTGTGTGGTCTGCCCATTCCTCAATTACCTGTCACCTCAAACATTCGCTTCTTGAATGAAGTGACAACATTTCCATCCTTCCGCCTGAGTAAGGGGCTGCTTCTCCTCTCTGCCACTTTCTGTTTTAACCTGGACCGCACCTTCAAGTTGGGCTCAGAGGCTGGGGATTGAGACAAAGAAAATAGATAAAAATTAAAAAATACAGAGCCAATTGCTCCTGTGTTTTTTGTTTTTTTTAAAGTCTCACTGTTTTCTTGGTCCCTTCTCATTCTCAAATGAAAAACCCAAGCATGTAAATAAGGCATTGACTCTAAATTAATTAAACAGACAAATATAATCATTATGTGTGTGAAATGTATGAAATGCTTTTCTACTTCTCTACATATGAAAGTGAAAAAGGAGTAAAAATGTAAATTTTCTAGTTATTTTTTTTAGCAGAATTGGGATTGTTAATGGGAAGTTTAATCACTAATTATGTTTGGTCAGATTAAGATTTATTATACTTCTTGTTGGCCCTCTTAATTCTCTCAAGGGTGAAACTCAATAACCACAAAAACAGTAACTTAATGTGATTTTAGAGACTCTGACCTGACTTCTGGTAATCGAAGACACCTCTGTAGCACATAATTTATGTCTAATTCTAACTCCTGGAATATTTCTTTGTCAGTAGTTTCTAACCTAAAACCCTGGGAAAATGAACTTGGTGTAATAACACCAAACCTAACCAGAATCCCTGTGAATAAAACTTTCTATACATTCAGTACACTATCAGCAAGAAAGGAAGGGTGGCCAAGTCTTAGAATTAAAACTTCTGAGTCTGGTTATATGATCCAAAATACAAATGCACATTATTCATACATATATTAAATATTAGTATCTTTAAATTATTGTAAAAAATGAAGCTCTATAATTAGTTATAATTTATTAAATTTTTAAATAATTATACTTGAGAAGAATGGATACATTAGATTGAGTCTCTATAATAGAAGTGGATGATGATATGGTGGTGGTAGTGATGATGATGACGATGATGATGAAGAAAGGATATTTCTGATGACAACATTTATATAGTTTTTTTTTTAATATTCCAGTACTGTTCTAAGTGTTTTATCAATATTAACTTATTTAACCACAAAAATATCCATATGGCATAGATACTATTTATAAATATAATTTGATTATATCTTTGAAGAGGCCAACACACAGAGAGAGGGTAAGTAACTTGCCCAAGGTTACAGAGGTAAAAAGGGATGAAGCCAGGATCCATACTCAGGCAGTCAGCCAGCCTCAAAGACTTGAGTATTTCTCTAAATACTGAAAATATAGGTCTGTCACCTTTTCTCATGTATGAACACCATAAAAAATTACAGAATAGTTTTTCCAAAGCACCACTAATCACCTATAGCAGAAACAATGTTATAATGTAGCTAGATTTTGTGATCAGTGAAAATGTTTTCTTTGAAGAAATTTATATTTTTACCAGATTGCAATTGGTATCAAAAGTAGAACTTACAATCTTTCCCTTTTTCACTTTCACACTTCAAACATCTATAGTTATTTTTCTCTTTGTTCTTTTCTTTTTCCATTCTCTACAGCTTTAAACTTGGATTGAGAACACTTGCATTATAGGTTTTCTTGGAATTGGGAAGAAATAGGAAATAGAAACTTGAAAGAAAAATTAAGGTCAGATACAAAAAATAAAGCTAGTTACTTTTTTGGTGCTGTATACCTGACTTTATGCCTAAAAATATCAAAAAGGTAAAAACATCAAGGCCTGAAAATATTCTAAAAGTAGAAATTCAGGAGGTGCTAGAGAAATCAGGGCTGAGAAAAAGAAGCTTAGAGTGATGGAGAACTGAAATGTATCACTTGCTGGGCCTCTCACCTGGAAGCAAAGAAAGTAAACAATTCTGGGAAGGATTAAGGTTTTTGCCAGACATTCCTGGAGTGGCAACTCCCCTTACCTTTAACTTAGCGGGTCAGACAGAAGTCTGAATCTCATTTACCAAAACCCAAATCACCCAGGATTAAAATGAGAAAATGAGACTGTATTAACTTAGAACTGTTTCCCTATATACATTTATTTAAAAATTCCTTTAAAATATCAATCTTGTCTCTGAAAAGCTATAAGTAATAAATATATTCATCTAAAACCTAGAAAGGAAAAATGAGGAACTATGAATCCCTAATAATATTGATCCTTGGTAGCCTTGTTTATGACCTACGACAAAGATCACAGATTCTCGGACTTGTATCTATACGAGACTTTACAATGAAATCTAATGGATTAAATTCTGCAAATTGGCTGTTCAGAGGGAGTAAATAAACTGATTTCTAAATGGAGTGGGCAGACTAGAATAGTCAGTGCATTTTCAGTGAGAGGATGTGAATTTGGGTCTGCACAGCACCACTTCCCAGCTCTGGAATTTTTAGTGAGATTCCAGTGCTTTCTGAGCCTGATTCTTCATTTATGAAACATAAAGTCTAATACTTCCCCGACTTCACAGGTTGTGGCCACTCAGTTAGATACCTGAGAATAACTGTGAAGATCTGGCTGAACGTCAAAGGGAAGAAAAGTTTATGGAACTCATATTATTGGTGCTATTGCTGAAGGTCAGATAACTAGAAGTGACCAAGTCAAGACTAGATCCCAAATCTCCTGATTCTCAGTCCTATCCTCCACCCTTTTCTAGTACATTCATTGCACCAGCTGGGGCTAAGTGTCTGCAATCAAGACAAAAATGTGCTGACAGCTTGGAAAAACAGCATATGCCATTTGAACATTTTACATGAAACCTAGAATTTTCCAAGATTTTCAGAAAGAAATGAGTTTTAAGGCCAGCCTATAGCTTTCACTCCTACAAGGGGCTGGATATACAGCTCTTAGCTTTTTTCCAATGGTCAACATAAGAAAGCAAACATCAGAATAGGAATGAGAACTGGATTCTAGTCTTCCATCTATCACATACTAAAATCAGTAACTTTGAATAATAGTCTTGCTGAACATCAGTTCATTCATACCCTCGCAGTGCCTGAAGTCAAATAGATGTGTGCTTAAATGCCTGCTCCACACATTAACTGTTTGGCTTTGAATGAATTACATTATATCTTTAAACCTCCATTTCTCATGTTAAAATGAGGACAGTTTTTTCTCTATTTTCCCCAACAGATTCCATTTTCCTTTCAACCCCATGGGGCCCAAATCCTGTAGTTGCATCACTCCAGTCCTTTGCTGGTTGGATTTCATTTGGGCTCAACTCATGGGCAGGACAGGCTGGTGAGCAAAAGATTAATGAGGAGGGTGGAGTCACAGTATCCTATATTCTCCCTGTCACAGTGTGCCACTACTGACCACAGAATTGTCTCTTCCTGATTTCACCTCCCTCTGGAAGCCCCTGCTCCACGATCCAGCTCTCCAGCACTCCAGGAACAATTTCCTGTTTGTTCTCCTTTAGCCTTAGGAGAGAGAATGGCTTCTCACTGTTGCTATTTTCTGGATACCCCCACATCCCTAAGAAGCTCCTTTAACTCTGCTAACTTCATTGTAAATGAAAACTATGACCTATGCTGCATAGGTCTGTTCCCTCCCAAGACCCTGTTTTAAACAGTCCTACATAATTTTGTAGTTATGTAGAATCAAATGAAACAGTGCCTGTACAGGATAAGACAGTTGTTCTTAACCAGGGAAGGTTTTGCTCCCAGGAGGTGATGTCTGGAGACATTTTTTGGTTGGCAGTATGGGAGTTGCTACTGGCATCTACTGGGTAGAGGCCAGGATATGCCAAACATCCTACAATGCACAGAATGGCCTCCTGCAACAAAAAATTATCTGGACCCAAATGTTAGAAACTCTGGGGTAAGAAGTCAGTCATTGGCAGTTGTTAATATTATAACTGTACTGCTCTGGGATAATTAAAAGAGACAATATCTGCCAGAGGTTCTCAAAAAGGATGTAGATAGGCAAGGGAAGAAAGGAAAGATTATCAGAAATTGGGGAGTGCTATACGTAGCTTAAAAATATTAACTATTTCAATAAATTTTATACTTAGAAATTAATTTTAAAAAATTTTGAGACCACTAATATTTCTATGGAAAGTAAAACTAGTAAAATTTTATTGGTTGGTGAAAATATGCAAAAAGACATAATTCTCAACTTTGGAAAGGATAATATTTGAGACATTGAGATATTTTTCTCTATCAATTCAGGAACATAAGTTTTTGAAAACACTGTAGAGTGCAACATAAATTAATTTTAACAAAATATACAATATACAACTTCTCTGAAGGAAGGCCCCTATCCAAATGGTTCTAGCAAAAGCATTTGCCTGTATTTCAACACTAGTTTTGAGTCACCAGAGATAGTACTATTGTGGTAAGCATGAGGGGATGATAGATAACCATCATTTACTCCTTGCAAGGCTCTATAAAGTCATTCCTAACACTTCAGAAGCCCACACACCAAAGCTCAGCATGACATATACCCAAGGAGTAGAATTAATGTCCTAGAGTGCTGACTCAGTTTGCAGTTAGAGTTAATTCCATGTTTAACGCTCTCGCCTCCCCAAAGGCTGAAGATTTCCATGCCAGAGACTTACTAATGGGATGCAAACCCTCAGAGCCCATAAAGAGATCACTAGCTGGGGAAAAGTTCTGCTTGGATGTGAATGTATTTCATGCCTAGTTGCACTAATTGCCTTTCCATTTTTACCCCACACCCATCATTCTCTACATCTCAATTAATCACAGAAACAGAAGGCAAGCTTTTAAGTGTGTGTGCTCATCTGAATACATTTGTCTGCTGAGATGGAAATCTTGCATAAAAAATTGCTTATCATTTAAGTGAAAAAATCAATATTAAAATACACAGGACAGAACTAAAACCTTTTCTTTTTCTCATTTAAAAGAAGAAAAACCTGAACAAAAGGAAACAGAAAGCATCTGAAGAACACATCATGAACTAAAAGTATTTCAAATCTTTATTCTCACACCGATCTCCACGGCACAGAATAAACTTGGGGTGGCAGGGTATAACAATAAAAAATGGGAAAGAAATAATACAGTTAGATAGCAGAAACAGAGGTTAAAAAATTAGGATTCTGAGGCATAGTAAGTAACAAGGTCCAGATTTGTCATTTCATTAAGAGATTGGTGTGTGTGACT